CGTCTGCAGAGCGCTGTGCTGCAAGTCTACAGCTGCTGCACGTCTGCAGAGCGCTGTGCTGCAAGTCTACAGCTGCTGCACGTCTGCAGAGCGCTGTGCTGCAAGTCTACAGCTGCTGCACGTCTGCAGAGCGCTGTGCTGCAAGTCTACAGCTGCTGCACGTCTGCAGAGCGCTGTGCTGCAAGTCTACAGCTGCTGCACGTCTGCAGAGCGCTGTGCTGCAAGTCTACTGCTGCTGCACGTCTGCAGAGCGCTGTGCTGCAAGTCTACAGCTGCTGCACGTCTGCAGAGCGCTGTCCTGCAAGTCTACAGCTGCAGCTCTGTGAGCTGATGTACAGCATTAACGCTGCCCCGATGCAGGCTGCAGCCGTAAGAACTGCATCCGCTGCTCTATATTCAGCTGCCTCCATGTTTTTGTCTCAGGCTGAGACGCCATCGCTCCATTCCTCCATGGTTAAAGCGAGACAATTTTCCCAGCATAAATCTAGCCCTCTTCAAATTTGGACGCATCTGGAGCGCCAATTTCGTAACTACGTCCAACGCCAACAACAACAACAACAACAACAACACCGCCGAGGGGACTTTTCCCTTGAACGCCGAGGGTTGGAACGTCCCCAGGGAGACGTTCCCTCGTCGCCATCGCAGGCGTCCCCTCTTTGTTTTGAACGCGGCTGTATTCAGGAGCCTTGTTTGCTGCCAGGGCTGGAGCTTGAGTGTCTCAGGTTATTAATGATCAATTGTGATTATATTTCCGGATTTTTAAACGTTGAATTCCTAATCTTCTTTGTTCACTCAATGGCTTTTCTCAAAAAAAAAAAACAGAAAAGAGGAATGTTCATGTTTTTGTTAGAAGATTGACTGTTTACCTTTTCGTTGAAGTCATAATATTACCTTTTCGGTGAGGTCATAATATTACCTTTTCGATGAGGTCATAATATTACCTTTTCGTTGAGGTCATAATATTACCTTTTCGGTGAGGTCATAATATTACCTTTTCGTTGAGGTCATAATATTACCTTTTCGGTGAGGTCATAATATTACCTTTTCGATGAGGTCATAATATTACACAAGGAAATTAAAAATGCTATTTTTTGTAAAATCGGATGAATTGGTGGAATATATTTATTCTGAGGTGATTTGCAGTTACTGCAAATCTGGCGCCACATAATATATGTGTATGTACCCGATTTCTATTACCGCTGAATATTCACAGCTTGTTGCGGGCTCAAATTCGCAACTCACTGATCCAATTCTGCACTACATAATTGCCCGGCCTCGCAGATTCTTGCCGGAAGCTGGCGCAGGTAGCAGGGTTCGAACCTGCACCTCTCTTCTCCAATCTATGCACTCTGAACTGTAACCACCGGTCCTCCCTGTATATGTAACTGGCCCTGCTAGCCATTGCCATTACTAATTTATTCTCGAGGTGGTTAAAGGCATTGCAAGAACTGCCCTCCTTCGTATATTTTTAGTTACTTAAGGATAACTGGCCAAATAAATAACTTAACATAATTGTACAGTAATGGTTGAAGTGGAGGTTGCTATTAAGCGAATTCTAATACAATATACAGGAACTTCACGGGAGCGCCACTCCCGTGAAGTGAACGATGTGTTGTCGACGAGTTTAAGTTCGTAATCTTCTCAAACTTGTAAGAACAATGATATCGAATTAATGCTAGAAAATATTATAAGTTACGAACAAGCTGAAGTTGATGATTATGTCAATAAAATATAAATAGCTTCATTTGCTTCAAGTTAATTGACTCTTTAAGAAATCATGTCGATGCTTTTCTTCCTATAACACTTGGCAGCGGATGTTGGGTTGTATGCAAGAGCTACTGCACTGTTGAACTCTTCTACTGAGCTGCTACAAACAGCACCCCAACACACTTATGCCTGGGCACACAAGCTTGTTGCTTCACATACACTGCGTCTGTATCTGCATGAGATAAGGAGAGTTTAGTTGGCCTACACGTACACCAACATATTGCTTCGATTCATACGCTCCTGAGCTCATGCATGGGATATGTCACGTAAGTCTTAATCTCCCCGACTTTTTAATTTTAATTAAAAAGTCGCCTGAAAAGTTGTCCTCTCTGCCTTTAGATCAAGGTTTCAGTGTGAATGGAAACATTTGTCCCGTCGTAGCGTTTTATTATTAAAGATCCGAGTGAGTCTTGGTAGACATGCTGGTTAGGTTGATAGCGTCATGAACGCTATAAGGCGCAGCTTATGATGAAAAAAAATGGTTACATCATAAAAAAGATTTGTTGTTATTGACCAAAATGCTATCACTAAGTTATCAAACCCGTCTTCTGAACTACGGAGACAGCTTTGTAGAGGCCGTGCAGCTTTCTACAATTGCCAGAATGTAATGCATGTTTGGCTACTCATGCGTAGAGCTTATTTGGGTACTTGTGCAGCTTAATACGTTGTATCAAGACGTGAACATGAAGAACGCATACATGGAGTTGAGTAAGAAAGCAGTTATCCTTCCGAGAGCCGCGCGATAAGAACAAGTGCATAATAGCATGGCTGAACTATATAAGGTTGACCCACGAGAAGTTCCGTCTTTCAGTTCAGCTTTTTTGTTACGTCGCTCAGATCAGTGACGTCACATGCGAACAACGAACTACATCCATCCGCGAAAATGAGTTTCTCATGAGTCAACCTTATACTAGTTCAACCATGAGTGCATAGAACACTAACATTCATCCGCCTCATGCTAGGGCCTCATGCTAGTGCCTCATGCTAGTGCCTCATGCTAGTGCCTCATGCTAGTGCCTCATGCTAGTGCCTCATGCTAGTGCCTCATGCTAGTGCCTCATGCTATTGCCTCATGCTAGTGTCATGTGACAGCCTGACCGCCTCGTGTTGCGCTGTAGGTGCGCCGCGTCAACGCCGGCCAGCAGAAATGTTCACTCTGATCCTGACGTGAATAAATATTGTTGTGTTTGGTATTAGTGATGATGCCTCCAGGATAAATTATGTTGTTCTTGAGATATTTTGTCGTTGGGAAAAGCTTGTGGTTCGCATGGACGTCTTTTCGCTGAGAGTGATCTTATAATATTGTAAAATGGCATTTCGTCTTAAAAATGACACACGTTCGTAAAATTTCTGAATATTTTATTATTATTGAACTGTAGGAGCAAAGTATATTAAACCTATTAAACCAAGCCTAAATATAGCAGGTTCATGAATATAGTATTTACTAACAGCTTAAAGAGTGGCAACTGAGCCTAAATATAGCAGTTCATATATCGCAATTCAAGTGACTTATACATTGGCGGCGTCGATGGCCTCGCTTTGCTTATCACAAACACAAGCAATGGTGCACGTGAAGATCATGTGGCATGTGGCATGCTGTGGCATGTGGCATGCTGTGGCATGTGGCATGCTGTGACATGTGGCATGCTGTGACATGTGGTATGCTGTGACAACATAGTGACATGTGTCATGCTGGTGCCTAGCATAAGCTCTCTCGTAACATCAGATTCTCGAGACGAAATTTTAATTCGATTTTCTAAAACGATTATTTCAGAAAAAGCCTAAGTTTCAGTATAATGAAGAATGTATTTACAGGATTAAGCTGTAATTGTATTCATTCTTTGCAATAAGTTGTGCCTAGTGTTATAGTGCAGTTGTGAACATGGCTGCAAGACAAATGTTTATATGGCCGTAGAAAATGTAGATTCCTGATCTTTGAAAATCAAAACTAGTTTTGATATGGTTTGGTTGTTTGAAAAATGATGTCAAAGCTGAAAAAATATATGTGCGATCCGACGCTGTGAAGAAGAGGCTGCCTAAATATTTGTTTACAATGAAAATTATTCACAATAAATTATGAAAAGTTTATGGTGCGACTACAGAAAAGATGAACTTTCTGTTTCGTGCCGGGTATCAAAATTGTAGGAACCTAATAAGAATGAGAATGGAGTTATGGATTGAGAGTGAAGACTAGTGAGAAGACTAGTGTGAAGACTAGTGTGAAATATGACTAGTCTGTTCGTCAGTCCCTGACGTCTGCTAGTCTGCTAGGGAAGGTCTGTGTTGTGCAGACAACCATCAGGTAAGTTTTTTAACGACGAAGTAACGCTAAGTCTTTGATATTTTATTGAGGCTCTCAGCATATTGCCATTATTAGTTATCAGTTTTATATATACATATATACTATCATCTGCTTTATTTTATACATGTACAAATAATGCACAAGGTGTAATATTTAAACATATATAATAAACCTTGTGGGATTATCGTGCAATCTTTCCTTGTCATATTTCGTTGATTGCAAACGTGTGCAATATATATATTGTATATATATATTGCACCGTATATATATATATAGTATATATATATTATACATGTATATATATATTATACCTTGCTTCATGGGCAGCAAGGTATAACAGAAACATGTTAATGGTTTAAAAGTGGCCCATTGCGTGCCTGTTATAACAAACATGTGCCTGTTATAGCAAACATGTGCCTGTTATAACAAACATGTGCCTGTTATAGCAAACATGTGCCTGTTATAATGTGTATGTCACACAAACAACACAAACAATACAAGCAGCCCAGCACGCTGTGTGACTGTCGTGTGTATGTCACACAAACAACACAAGCCGCCCAGCACGCTGTGTGGCTGTTGTATATGTGTCACACAAACAGCACAAGCAACATACGCCGCCTAGCACGCTGTGTGACTGTCGTGTGTATGGCACACAAGCAACACACACAGCCCTTGCTGTTTGTATGCTGTCCAAGGTTCGCTCCCACAGGCAGTCGCGGCGCGCATGCGATGCTTCTTCCCTTCACACGCGCCGCGCTCTGTCCCAAGCTTATACGCCTGACCAAAGTTAATTTTATGGTAGCTTCCCTTTACTATACTAATTAAATATTATTGATAATAATATATCATATAATGCAACTAATAATATAATATGTGCCCTCCTTCAAATTGGGTTTGAACTAATCTCAAGCGCTACGTAACTTGCTTGATGCCATCATAGTTATTTGCTACTCGAGGAGCTGAAACTTGTACTGCCACAGCCGTGCCTTTCACACCCTTGTTAATACTAGATTTCAGAATAACCTTCACTATTCATACCAGCACATTACAAGTAACCTCATTAATTATACCAGCACATTAC